TAGCATTCAAGTCCCCTACCACAATTACTCTCTCACTTGGTTCAAGGCTCCTGTCCCATTCCTTAACATCTCCCAAAATCTCTCTCTCCTCCTCTGCATTCCTCTCTTCTCCAGGTGCATACACGCTTTTTTATGACCCACTTCTCGCATCCAACCTTTACTTTAATCCACATAATTCTTGAATTTACACATTCAAAATTCTCTTTTCTCCTTCCATAACTGATCATTTAACATTTCGCTTAAACCCCCTTCTTTGCTCTAACTCTCTCAGATACTCCAGATTTAATCCCATTTATTTCCCCCCCCTGAAACTTCTCCTACCCCCTTCAGCTTTGTTTCGCTTAGGGCCAGGACATCCAACTTCTTTTCATTCATAACATCAACAATCATCTGTTTCTTGTCATCCGCACTACATCCACGCACATTTAAGCAACCCAGTTTTATAAAGTTTTTCTTCTTCTCTTTTTTAGTAATTGTATACAGGAGAAGGGGTTACTAGCCCATTGCTCCCGACTCAGTAAACTTATTCCTCTATAATTTTTACAATCTCTTTTGTCTCCCTTCTCTTTATATAATGGGACTATACATGCTCTCTGCCAATCCCTAGGTACCTTCCCCTCTTTCATACATTTATTAAACAAAAATACCAACCACTCCAACACTATATCCCCCCATGCTTTTAACATTTTTGTCATGATCCTGTCAGCTCCAGCTGCTTTACCCCCTTTCATTCTACGTAATGCCTCACGAACCTCCCCCACACTCACATCTTGCTCTTCTTCGCTCCTTAAAGATGGTATACCTCCCTGGCCAGTGCATGAAATTACTGCCTCCCTTTCTTCGTCAACATTTAGAAGTTCCTCAAAATATTCTCACCATCTACCCAATACCTCCATCTCCCCAGCTACTAACTCCCCTACTCTGTTTTTAACTGACAAATCCATTCGTTGTTTAGGTTTTCTTAACTTGTTTAACTCGCTCCAATTTTTTTTCTTATTTTCATTAAAATTTCTTGACAGTGCCTCTCCCACTCTATCATCTGCTCTCCTTTTGCACTCTCTCACCACTCTCTTCACCTTTCTTTTACTCTCCATATACTCTACTCTTCTTTTAACACTTCTGCTTTGTAAAAACCTCTCATAAGCTACCTTTTTCTCTTTTATCACACCCTTTACTTCATCATTCCACCAATCACTCCTCTTTCCTCCTGCACCCACCCTAATATAACCAAAAACTTGTGCCCCACATTCTAATACTGTATTTTTAAAACTATTCCAACCCTCTTCAACCCCCCCTTCCCCACTACTCGTACTTGCACCAGCCCACCTTTCTGCCAATAGTTGCTTATATCTCACCCTAAATTCCTCCTCCCTTAGTTTATACACTTTCACCTCCCTCTTACTTGTTGTTGCCATTTTCCTCTTGTCCCATCTTCCTATTACTCTAACTGTAGCTACAACTAAATAATGATCCGATATATCATTTGCCCCTCTATAAACGTGTACATCCTGGAGCCTACCCATCAATCTTTTATCCACCAATACATAATCTAACAAACTACTTTCATTATGTGCTATATCATACCTTGTATATTTATTTATCCTCTTTTTTCATAAAGTATGTATTACTTATTACCAAACCTCTTTCTACACATAGCTCAATTAAAGGCTCCCTATTTTCATTTACCCCTGGCACCCCAAATTTACCTACTACTGCCTCCACAACATTTTTACCCACTTTAGCATTGAAATCCCCAACCACAAGTACTCTCACACTTGGTTGAAAACTCCCCATGCATTCACACAACATTTCCCAAAATCTCTCTCTCTCCTCTACACTTCTCTCTTCTCCAGGTGTGTATACACTTACTATAACCCACTTTTCACATCCAACCTTTATTTTACTCCACATAATCCTTGAATTAATACATTTATAGTCTCTCTTTTTCTGCCATAGCTTATCCTTCAACATTATTGCTACTCCTTCTTTAACTCTAACTCTATTTGAAACCCCTGACTTAATCCCATTTATTCCTCCCCACTGAAACTCTCCCACCCCCTTCAGCTTTGTTTCACTTAAAGCCAGGACGTCCAGCTTCTTCTCATTCATAACATCCACAATCATCTCTTTCTTATCATTTGCACAACATCCATGCACATTCAGACATCCCACTTTGACAATTTTCTTCTTCTTATTCTTTTTAGTAATTATTACAGGAAAAGGGGTTACTAGCCCATTGTTCCCGGCATTTTAGTTGACTTATACAACATGCATGGCTTACGGAGGAAAGATTCTTATTCCACTTTCCCATGGATATAAAAGGAAAAGTAATAAGAACAAGAACTATTAAGATAAAATCAAAGAAAACTCAGATGAGTGTGTGTAAATAAATGTGTACATGTATATGTAGTGTGACCTAAGTGTATGTAGAAGTAGCAAGACGTACCTGTAATCTTGCATATTTATGAGACAGACAAAAGACACCAGCAATCCTACCATCATGTAAAACAATTACAGGCTTTCGTTTTACACTCACTTGGCAGGACGGTATTACCTCCCTGGGTGGTTGCTGTTTACCAACCTACTACAATTATAATTTTAATAAAAGGTCTTCATGAGTCACATTTCGCATTTTTTATTTTGCTTTCAGCTTGGTATATGCTTCATGAATTAAAAGTGTACAGTGAAGTCTTGAAATTATTGCTAACTTTATGCTGCCTTCTCTGCAACATTATGAAGACGAGCTCCTACCCTGCCTGGCTGCACATCAATTTTTGCTCTAATACAAAATTAATATGAGGTTTTTGGATAACCAGAGTAAGTTTCTAGGATTTATACTTTAGTGCTGCCTTCAGTAACAACCTATTCCATTCTAGTAGATCCTGTTCCTCCCAGCACTATGTATGACATCATCTCCCTTTCATTCTCCACTTTCAATCCTTTCACTGCTGTGACCCCTGCAATTCTGAAATGGTAGAGAAATCTTTTTCTGGAGGTAATGACACCAAAACTGAATAATTTGATAGAAAACTTACAGAATTTCTTTTATTGTACTTCCTCACCACTCTTTTTAACCTCTCTCTCCTTTCTCCATGCACTCTGAATTCTTTAGTACATCTTACCACTTTCTTTAGCTTCAACTCACCATTCTCCCAATAGCTTCTCATACATCTTATTAAATGTCCATCTCATTAGTTCATTTGCTTTCACTTCTAATTTAACCACTGAAACCATTCTTCTCATACTTCACTTTCCTCATACTTGTAATCTAGATTTCAATGGATAGTGATCTGATATGAGTTATAGTTAAAAATGTGTATCCTTACATATCTACCTTTCAAACTTTTTTCCATCAGTCTAGCAAAATTCTCTCCTTGCTCACTTCATTGTACATGTATAATGTTTCCATCCTTTTCTTCCTTAAATATTTAATACCTACCAAATGTTTTTCCATACACAGAGTTGCTAATTTTCATTACCACTAGCACTCCAAACTTTTCTCCATTTCATATTTTACACTTTATACCTACTCATTCTGCAGTATAAAGTTCAATGAAGAAAAATCATTATTTTAACGAGTTAAAAACTATGATATATTATACAGCCTCTCCTTACTTAACGACGGACTTCCGTTCCTAAGACCACATTGGTAAATGAATTCATCACTAAATGAGGAGCATACTATAATGGTAGTGGGTTTTTATCAACCATCTTTGATACTTTTTTAATGTCACCTTTGCACCATTTATAACATTTCTGGTATATTTTTAAATGTTTATATAATAGTGTACTGTATAATGTAATAAACAAAATAGAGAAAACCAGCTTTAATATACATTATTCAGGTGTCTTCCTTTGCAGATGACACCTGGATCACTATGGCAGCGACCTCCATTGAAGACACTGCAATACTCCAAGCGGACATCAACCAAATCTTCAAATAGGCCACTCCAAACAATATGAAGTTCAATGAGGAGAAATTTCAACTACTCAGATATGGAAAACTTGAAGAAATTAAAAATGTGTCAGGGTATACCACAAATTCTAACCATACAATACAGCAGAAAAGTATACCACAAATTCTAACCATACAATACAACAGAAAAGTAATGTGAAGGACCTGGGAGTGATAATTTTAGAGGATCTCACCTTCAAGGACCACAACAACGTATCTACCTCATCCGCTAGGAAAGTGATAGGATGGATAATGAGAACCTTCAAAACTAGGGATGCCAAGCCCATGATAATTCTCTTCATATTGCTTGTGCTCTCTAGGCTGGAATGCTGCTGTACACTAACAGCCCCCTTTAAGGCTGGCGATATTGCAGACCTGGAGAGTGTACAAAGAACTTTCATGGCACACGTAAGTGCGATAAGGCACCTAAACTACTGGGAACGGTTGAAGGTCCTTGATCTGTATTCCCTCAAATGCAGGAGAGAGAGATACATGATAATAAACACTTGGAAGGTCCTGGAGGGATTGGTACCAAACCTGCACACGAAAATCACTCCATATGAAAGCAAAAGACTCGGCAGGAGATGCAACATTCCCCCGATGAAAAGCAGGGGCGCCACAAGTACGCTGAGAGACAACACAATAAGTGTCCGGGACCCAAGACTGTTCAATTGCCTCCCAGCATACATAAGGGGAATTACCAATAGACCCCTGGCTATCTTTAAGAAGGCACTGGACAGGCATCTAAAGTCGGTGCCTGACCAACCGGGCTGTGGTTCATACATTAGCTTGCATGCATCTAGCAGTAACAGCCTGGTTGATCAGACCCTGATCCACCATGCGGCCTGGTCTGAGACCAGGCCGTGGGGGCGTTGACCCCCAAAACTCTTCAGGTTAACTCCAGGTATGCATACTGGTCAGAGAGCCCATTGTAAATCCGACCCATCGGTAAACGAGTATGTGAGGAGAGGCTGTATACTATTATTGTGATAATGCTGGAATAAGGCAGTCATGAAAAATAGTGAAAAAGAAATGAAGGTAATACCTGTGTAGCCAAAGTCTGATTTCTTGCTATCATCTCAGGACTCTGAGAAGTTACATGGGATGCTGAGGACACACGTGATGCTGACCTCATCAAGCCACGATGACGTTTTTGGCGAAATGATGTAGTGCTTGCTGGAAAATAGATGCATTTTTACTCAATATATTGCACATTCATTCATGCACTGACCAACATGCATTATCACAAAGAGAGTGATATCTGGCTACAATAAAGTAGGAAAGTGTATGTACAAAAGAAAAAAAATAGCTGAACATTAGCTTCTGTATTAGAGCAGTTGCTATCATATTTAACCTTTAAACTGTCCAAACATAGATCTACATTTGCACCGCTAGCGCTCTGAACGTAGATCTACATTTTATTTTTCATTCCTTCAAAATTGGCGTGATAGACCCGAGTCACCTAGACACGAGAGAGTGAGTCTGCGCACTCAGTGTGCACAGCATGAAAAAAATCGAGGACACCTGGGTACCACATGGGAGTACCAGTTAGTTTCAGCTCGATTTTGGGTCATCATGGCAAACCCCCGTGATTCACTCATGCCTCGTCGTATTAACACTACTATTCTCGGAAAGTGATAGTGTTATGGGGCTATAGGACCCAACATGTACAGTGGACCCCCGCATAATGATTACCTCCGAATGTGACCAATTATGTAAGTGTATTTATGTAAGTGCGTTTGTACGTGTATGTTTGGGGGTCTGAAATGGACTAATCTACTTCACAATATTTCTTATGGGAACAAATTCGGTCAGTACTGGCACCTGAACATACTTCTGGAGTGAAAAAATATCGTTAACCGGGGGTCCACTGTATTTATATATCTGTAACAGTTACTCTGGAATGCCTAATTATATTGAATTGATGGGGACACAGCACTTAAATGGCCCTAAGGGAAGATCACCCTTAGGGATTGAGAGGCAGCTGGGTCAAGCCTGTTTTTCTCAATATAATAGGTTATACTATAGACACACAAACACACAATTTAAATAAGTAGTTTATAAAGTTGTATTTCTTTTTGTAATAGTAAAATAAGGTGTGGTAAAACTGTGGTAACTAGATAATTGTGCTTGGCAACAGTCTTTTGTTTTTTGGTGGGTGTGAGATGAGCTTAGCTAGGCTCCTCCCTCTCCCCCACTCCTTTTTTTATTGACTTCAAGCTGGTAGGACCTCTGGGTCCTTCTTTCTATTTTTGGGGGCATTATGTGTGCCCCAGGGGTGAGTTCAATAACTTTAGTTGTGGCCACCATACCCAGGGTGACTTAAGTGTGTCAAAATACTGGTTAGCCCAGAGATTAGTCAAGAAGAGAGAAGGGCAAATTGCTGAGATGCACCATGTGGGAGAGCAGCTAAGGAGTGTGTGTAGACTTATGTTTTGTATATTGTATATTCTGTACATATCTATTTAGAATACAGTTATATTTTTTATAGAGGTAGTTTAAATAACCTGTGAAGAGGGCTGGTGAAAGGATTTCAGAGACTGAAGATGATCAATCATGAATATAAGTATTACCCTAGACATATAAGACCTTTATGTAAAAGCTACTCCCCACTAGAACATGTAGTGAGAACCTTACTATCAAAGTACTAAGGGACAACAACATAACAGATAGAGAACACGAGTTTAGTGATTCTGACACCGATATTGCCACTAGTGAACAAGGAATTAGTGAAACTATTGATGATAACCCAGATGACCCTCAGCCTATCACTTCTGGGGTGGCCAGTGTAGTTAATGTGGCCAGTGTGGCCACAACAAACCTTCAGCCCAGCACCTCTGGGTTTGCTAGTGTTACTACTCAAAGGCAACTCCACAAGAGAAAATTATCATTTTCCATGCATTGTGGCATTGACAATAGTGAAAAGACGTAAGTGATGATGATGAAACTGATTTTATGCCCATAGAGGATTTGTTGAGTGAAAGTGATTTGCATTATTCCCCTGTGAAATGTACTTTTACGTGTCGTCGCCTACGTTCAGGCAGTGTACTATATGCAGTCAGTGGCAAGGGTCGTGGTAGGTCACGATCCAAAACCCCAGCCACTGATAGTGATAGTGAACATAAAGGGGAATATACTGGGATGGAGGAAGAGGAGGTTGGTGGCACGGTGCCTGGACTTCATGGTGCGTTCGGTGGGAGATAAAGGACCACCCAACACCCTCTCAACCATGTGCTGCCTCCACTCCGATCCCCCCTCCTGCTCCCCTACCCCCATGCCACAGGTTCACCCTGCACCATGTGACCACGAATGGAACTGGACAGAAAGTACACCATTCGTGCCACATCCCTTCAATTTTTAGGCCAGTGGAAGTGGCATCAGGCCTGAATGTCCCATCACAAATGAGTCTAGAGAGTTAGACTATTTCCAATTGTTCTTTGATGAACCTATAATGAGCCTGATTGTTACCCAGACCAACATGTACTACCGGTATACGATGGACCACACAGATGTTGCAGAATCGTCATGGCTGCACAGGTGGAAGGATACAACTGTGGCTGAAATGTATTTGTTCCTTGGCACTGTCATGCTTATGCCACATACATATAAGAACTGCTGGTCCACAGACTACTTCATCAGCACTCCAGTCTTCTGTGACCTCCTTCCCTGCAACAGATTCACTCTGTTGCTATGAATGTTGCACTTCTTGAATAGGAATAAGCCCAACAGAAATGACCTTCTATACAAAATCCAGGAATTGTTTATGTATGTAAAGCAAAAATTCACTGCCTACTTTTATCCATTCAAGAACATTGTTGTTGACAAGTCCTTGATTCTGTTCAAGGGATGACTGTCATTCAAAAAATATATACCAAGCAAATGTAATCGCTTTGGTATAAAACTCTGTTATGTGTGACTGCGAGACTGGTACTGTGTTGGAGGTCATTATCTACACAGGGAAAAATACACCTGACAATACCAAGCATATGTTGGGCATTTCTGGGGATGTTGTTCGCAAGATGATGGAGCCATACCTTGTCAAGGGTCATACATTGTTCACAGATATCTGATACACAAGCCCTATGCTTGCTGGTTTCCTCTGTGTGAACAATACTGATATGTGTGGAACAGTGAGAAGAAATAGAAAACACATGCCAAGGTTCACTGGTGACAGTGACAGTCCCCCATATTGCTCACACCTCATCATTTAGCGCCAACTTCGCAGGCTTATATCTCGGTAAGTACTGACTCTAAAAAATTTTTTTTTATCCTATAACATTTATAAAAATGTGCTCTTCATTAACCCTTTCAGGGTTTCGGACGTACTAGTACGGCTTATGCACCAAGATTTTTGATGTACTAGTACGCCTAAATTCTAGCTCCCTCAAATCTAGTGAGAGAAAGCTGGTAGGCCTACATATGAAAGAATGGGTCTATGCGGTCAGTGTAGCATAAAAAAAAATCCTGCAGCACACAGTGCGTAATGAGAAAAAAAAAACTGACTGTTTTTGGTTTAAAACAGCGACTTTGCACTGTATTTTCATGTGGTATTTATGATGGTATTCTAGTTTTCCTGGTCTCATTTTATAGAATAGAAGACATATTACAGAAATTGAGATGATTTTGATTGGTTTTACAATGAAAAGTACCTTGAAATTGAGCTTAAAGTAGCAGAAATCTTCGATTTTTGGCAAAGTTCAAAAGTAAACAAATCATGCTACGCGTCCAATACACGTCAACTGGCGAGTCTAATATTCTTTCACAAGTGCGCTGATATTTATACCATTTCTACACTAATGCAGTAATCTGCATAACAGTAAATCTTCTATTTTTTGTGAGAATAAAAATTCAAAGTGGAAAGCAAAAGAATGTAAGAGGGGCGTGAGGACATGACTAATGAACAGAGGAAATGTTATTTTAGTGCCAGGAATGTTTTTCTTGTTTATTCTGGACTCTATTTGGAAATTGGCATCTTTTGAAATTTATGTGAAATTGGCAAAATTGCTAAATTCTGACCACTTTATTGGATAGTTGAAATCAGTAAATGGATGGTTTCTTGTATTCATTCGATAGAAAAAAATGGAGTTCTAGTGAAATAGTTATGATTTTTGTAGACTAGTACACTGGAATTGGCTAAAAATTGGGCTCAATGTGGGCAAAACCGCCTATGCATAAACATCGTCGAGACCACTAACTTTGCCAGAGCATAATTCCGTAAGTTTTCCATCAAATTTCATACTTTTGGTGTCATTATGATTGGGAAAAGATTCTCTATCTTTTCATAAGAAAAATAATTTTTTTTTTTTAAATTTGGCGACCCTGAGAACAAGTCTAGGAGAGAGCCTAGCAACCCTGAAAGGGTTAAAAAAAAAATTGTTTTTCAAAATATTCGGAGTGCTGGGGGAGAAAACGTAGATCTATGTTTGGACAGTTTAAGGGTTAAGGATATTAAGTTACTGTAATGTGCTTAACTAACCACCATTGTACTATCATTCATATCTTACCATTAGGCCTGATATTTGGACGTCGGACATTATCTTGACTGTCAGATTTCATTCTGTTCCACAACATGGACAACACAGAAGGTTTCCGAGGCATGGGCTGGGATGAAGCTATCCCAGATGAGGACGACCTTGGACTTCCACCTTTCTTCTTTATGTCAATAGCTCGTGAACCATTTTCCAAGTCACCCTGTATATTAAAACAGAAAGAAATTTGAAGTTATTTAGGCTTAAAGAAAAATGAGCCTCAGTGAGAAGTGCAACACCTGTACTCTGATGAGGATGTTGCAGTTTGGAGGGTCATCTGAATTGTGATGTCCAAACACAAAAAATCAATTAAATCAAAATAAAAATTTCTTTTTGTAAAATACAAACTGAAGTTTACATGTAATGAAGTATTGTTAAGCACAAAGAAAGCACCAGCATTCATGAGCATTTCAGGCAGACTAATCCTAATACTTACAGACTACAGGTTGGCCATCACTAGTCCGGCACCATTGGGACCTGTAGTGTGCCGGATTAGTGAGTTTGCCGGATTACAGAGTGGTTAGGTTAGAATACACTTACTTAACCTATCAATAGAGACTCTGCTACATCTTCATTTTCATCACTGCTTTCTCCTCCACTGGCTTGCTGCTGTGGATTTACAACCATCTGCACAATTTCTGAGTCAGTATAATGATGAAATTTGAAATTATGCTAGTTGAAATTAGTGCCGGATTATTTATGGAACTGGATAACCAATTGCTGGATTAGTGATGGCCGACCTGTACTTAAAACTAGACAAAGGTTATGGAGTGATAAAGAGTTTATTACAAGGTACTGACATGAAGTTAAAAATAATAATAAATGAAAATGTTTATTTCTTTGCAAAGTTTACAATGTGTGGTTTATATATTATTTAAAATATTAATTACAAAGAAGGCCACTAGCATGCCTAGGCATTTCAGAAGACTAATCCTAAATTCTTACACTATATTGATGCAGGTTACGGGGCAGTACAGTAAGTTACTTAATGCCGTAAAGAATTTTTATAAGGATAGTGAGGCTCAGATTAGGGTGTGTAGGAGAGAGGGAGATTACTCTCCAGTAAAAGTAGGTCTTAGCTAGGAATGTGTAATGTCACTATGGTTGTCTAACATATTTATAGACAGGGTTGTAAAAGAAGTAAATACTAAGAGTACTGGGGAGAGGGGAGGATTAAATTATGGAGAATCAAATACAAAATGGGAGTTGACACAGTAACTTTTTGCTGATGATACTATGCTTTTGGGAGATACTAAAGGAAAGTTACAAAGATTAGTGGACGAGTTTGGGAGGGTGTGTAAAAGTAGAAAGCTGAAAGTGAACATTGATATGAGTAAGGTGATGAGGGCATCAAATGATTTAGATAAAGAAAAAATGGATATCACATTGGAAGGAGGGAGTATGGAAGAAATGAATGTGTTCAGATATTTGGGAGTTGATTTGTAAGCAGATGGGTTTATGAAGGATGAAATTAAACACAGAACTGATGAAAGAAAAAAAGGTGAGTGGTACTTTGAGGTATCTGTAGAGACAAAAAAAAAAAAAAAAACACGTTATCCATGGAGGCAAAGAAGGGAATGTACGATAGTATAGTGGTGCCAACACTCTTATAGGGGTGTGAAGCATGGGCTATGAATGCTGCAGCAAGGAGGATGCTGGAGGCAGTGGAGATCTCATGTCTAAGGGCAATGTGTGGTGTAAATATTATGTACAGAATTTGTAGTATGGAAATTAGGTGTAGAGTTACTAAAAGTATTAGTCAGAGGCCTAAAGAGGGTTGTTGAGGTTGTTTGGTCATTTAGAAAGGATGGAACAAAGGACAATGACTTGGAAAGTGTATCAATCTATAGGGAAAGGAAGGCGGGGTAGGGGGTTGTCCTAGGAAAGGTTGGAAGGAAGGAGTAAAGGAGGTTTTGTGGACAAGGGGCTTGGACTTCCAGCAAGAGTGCATGAGTGTGTTAGATAGGAGTAATTGGAGATGGATGGTTTTTGGGACCTGAAGAGCTGTTGGAGTGTGAGCAGGGTAACATTTAGTGAAGAGATTTAGGGAAACCAGTTAGCTGGACTTAAATCCTGGAAATGGGAAGTACAATGCCTGTACTTTAACCCTTTCAGGACTTCGGCCGTACTAGTACAGCTTACGCACCAGGGTTTTTGACGTGCTAGTACACCTAAATTCTAGCGCCCTCAAATCTAGTGAGAGAAAGCTGGTAGGCCTACATATGAAAGAATGGGTCTATGTGGTCAGTGTGCGCAGTATAAAAAAAAATCCTGCAGCACACAGTGCGTAATGAGAAAAAAAAAACTTTGACCGTGTTTTTGGATTAAAACAGCAACTTTGCATTGTATTTTCGTAAGGTATTTATTGTTGTATTCTAGTTTTCCTGGTCTCATTTTATAGAATGGAAGACATATTACAGAAATTGAGATGATTTTGACTGGTTTTACAATGAAAAGTACCTTGAAATTGAGCTCAAAGTAGCAGAAATATTCAATTTTTTTCCAAAGTTCAAAAGTAAACAAATCATGCTACGCGTCCAATACACATCAACTGGTGAGTCTAATATTCTTTCACAAGTGTGCTGATATTATTTATACCATTTCTACACTAATGAAATAGTCTGCATGACAGTAAATCTTCTATTTTTTGTGAGAATAAAAATTCAAAGTGGAAAGCAAAAGAATGTAAGAGGGGCATGGGGACGTAATGATATTTTAGTGCCAGGAATGTCTTTCTTGTTTATTCTGGACCCTATTTGGAAATTGGCATCTTTTGAAATTTGTGTGAAATTGGCAAAATTGCTTAATTCTGACCACTGTATTGGATAGTTGAAATCGGTAAATGGGTGGTTTCTTGTACTCATTTGATAGAAAAAATGGAGTTCTAGTGAAATAGTTATGATTTTTGTCGACTAGTACACTGGAATTGGCCGAAAACAGGGCTCAAAGTGGGCAAAATCGCCGATGCATAAACATCGTCGAGACCGCTAACTTCCCGAGAGCATAATTCCATAAGTTTTCCATCAAATTTCATACTTTTGGTGTCATTATGATCAGGAAAAGATTCTCTATCTTTTCATAAGAAAAAAAATTTTTTTTTTTTTTAAATTTGGCTGACCCTGAGAACTAGTCTCGGAGAAGGCCTGTCGACCCTGAAAGGGTTAAAGGAGGGGGTTTGGGATATTGGCAGTTTGGGGGGACTTCTAAATGGTCATATGTATCTGAGTGCCTCTGCAAAGACAGTGATTATGTATGAATGAGGTGAAGTGTTGAATGATGATGAAAGTATTTTCTTTTTTGGGATTTCCTTTCTTTTTGGGTCACCCTGCCTCGGTGGGAGACTGCTGACTTGTTGAGAAAAAAAAAAAAAAGATTTTTTAATACATTGATCATTTTAAATAAAAACACAATATTAAAGCAAGAATGTCAAAATGAAGGAAAAGGTAAACAAAATATTAAAACCATTGTGGGTATAAATATGGTGGAGACATGAAGTCAGTAAGAATGGTATATTGTACAATGGCATATAATACCATTAATAATATGGTACTTGTCTGCAGCAATACCATGGCATCTTGGTACAGTGGATCTCTCTCCAACTGTGCTGCAAACAATTGTTTAGCATGACCTACTTTCACTTGTGGGCCCTGCTTACCTGTGATGTCATCTTCAGCTTCTACACTTTGCTTCTCACTTCAAAATACAAACTTCTGGCCTCACGCCTCTGCTCTAGGCTAAGGGACTGATCACCTGCTATCAAAGCTAGGGACTGATCAGCTCAAAATCTCCTTTCCACTTCTTTTGTCTCCAGTGTTATAATCTGTATTTGACTGAAGAAGCCTGTGGCTTAGGCACACCATTTCGACAATAAAGACACTTAAGTGTTGCACATTTGTCTTACTCATCAACTTGTCATCATTGTATACCATTTATACCTTGCTGAAATATATTGTAGAAATCTTACTGAGCTCACCAGAAATGTTCAATGTACTGTGTATGAACTTGGAATATTAGATAACCTTGAAGACATACCTTACCTGGATATTTTTCAAAATGAATTAAGTAAAGGAGGGGGGGGAAGCAACTGCAAGGAAACCATGTATTTAGAAAATTAAAGAGTGATAATGGGAAAGCAGACATTGACTCATCTATTACTAACTGGGAAAGCAGACATTGATTCATCTATTCCCTCGTCCTCTTCCTCTTCCAGCAAGGGCAAGAATTCCTGTTCAGTCTCTGGCACTTCAATATTTGCAGTTGAGCCCTGAGGAGGTTCTCGTCTGAACGCCTCAGAAGCAATAGTATAAGGAAGTTCCTGAGGAAATACTTCATCCCAGTACATGTCTTGAATAAGCTCAGGATGTTCACTGTGCATCTCATCCACAATAAGGTAGGAGACCTGTTAAGAAGACATGGAAAGTAAATAATGCATATATTCAATTAAATTTGACATTGGAATATTGGGATAAGGGTGGGATGTACTGGAAAGGATAATGTGAAGTGATGTGGGGAAGAATAATATAAAGGCATGAGGAAGAAGAATATGAAGGTGTAGGGAAGAATAATGTGGAGGGGTAGGGAATAATAATGTGAAGGGATGTGTAGAAAAAGAATATGAATGGATGTGGAAGAAATTGTGAAAGGATGTGGTAAGCATAGAATAAAGGAATAAGTGGCACATGAATGATAGAATTATGTGGGAGCGTAATTCCGTAAGTTTTTGATCAAATTTTGTACTTTTGGCGTCGTTGCAACAGTCGAAGGGTTATACATAATTAAAATATGTAGAGTGGAACCCCGGATATCAGCTGATGTGGATATCGGCCAAATCGGATTTCAGCCACTTTTTGGCCAAACTTCTGTCCTGGGTTTTGGCCGGCAACTCGGAAATCGGCCGTATTGGACACATCTGCCCGACTGCGTTTGTGAGTTAGTCTGGCTGTCTCTCTCGGTGAGTGAGCAACATTCCGCTCATTTATCCAAACATTTCGTTACAATCTATTGTTTTTGTGGTTGTTTATTGAATGCGACTGTGAAATAAGCCACAATGGGCCCAAAGAAACACGTTACATAGTACAGTGGAACCTCGGCTTATGAGTTTAATTCGTTCTGTGACCTTGCTCGTATCCTGATCTGCTCGTATGCCAAGTAAATTTTTCTATATTTAAATTAACTGAAATGCCATCAATCCATGCTCTGGGAGGCAGGACAAAAATACTTCAACACTCCCACACTCCCGACACCGCCATCCCAGCTTCATGAACACGTGTTCAATTCCACTTCTCTCCTACAAGCTAATTGTGTTTGTGAATTGTGTTTTGATCTTTTAATTACTATATCTTGTATCTGCCAAGCAATCATGACACTCAGTAGGCATACCAGTGTTGCCTACTGAATGACTTACTAACTTGACTGACTGAATGACTTAAAGTTAGACCTTTTACTGAAGAGGACCCTGGAATGGTGTCTAGAGCAGCTGATGCCTTACCGTCAGTTGTATGATGTACTGCAGGATAAAATAGAACAGAAATCCATTACAGAATTTATGCACACTCCAGTACAACCATCAACTTCAGTACCAGATCCTCTACCATCCACCTCAGCCCAGTAGGGCCACAACATAACTCTCCACTCTTCACAATCATCGACAAACACCAGCACCCACAATTTAAGGTAAGAAATACTATTATTTCTGTTGCAATTATAGTCTTAGACAGTAAAAACAACATAATACATCACAACAATGAACTACAATTATATATTCACTTTTATTTTTGCAAGATCTGCAGGTCTAAAAAAAAGTTGTTTGAGGGGGAAGTTCGCATCCTCAATTTCTGCTCATATCCAGAAACAAAAAATCGACAGAGCGACTGCTCGTATCCTGAAAAACTTATAAGGTGGGGCACTCATAAGCCAAGGTTCCACTGTACATAAAAACATGCAATGTTTATATGCGATGTATGTTTAATAATAATCACTCTTGGGCACATTAAATGTCTTATTTTAGGTTAATATAGACATTTTCATTATTCCATTTATGATATTTTCTTCAAAATTAATACAAGTAACATGTTACATAGCATATAGCATATAAACGTGCAATGTTATAATGTGGCGAGTCAGGTGGAGAGTAAACATTATCTTTTCTCTGATTCAGCGTTAGAGAAAACTGTGAATCTGGCGTCTGGCACAGTCACCGCCCTTCATACATTTTTGTTTACAATTCTTGGCATGAATTATTCATTATTTCTCCCTTTGTTTATGATGGCATCTAAAGGTAGTTGTTACAAACGATTAAACTCAGTGAACATAGTAATAATATGTCTGTAGTATAATAATATGGCTATGTAGTGTAGCCCAGGGAGGGTTACATACGTGTACCTACATCTACCGCTGCCTACACTGACTTTCTACAAATAAATATTACTCACCTCTCGCCCTACATTAACCTTTTGACTGTTTTGGTTGTATATAAACGTCTTACAAGCCAGTGTTTCAGACATATATATACTCAATAATTCTAGCGGCTTCAAATCAAGTAGGAGAAAGCTGGTAGGCCCACATATGAGAGAATAGGTCTGTGTGGTTAGTGTGCACCGCATAAAAAAAATCCTGCAGCACGCAATGCATAATAAAAAAAAAAAATCTCTGACTGTGTTTTTGGATTAAAATGCCGACTTTGAGGTGTATTTTCATATAGTATTTATGGCTGTATTCTCATTTTCTTGGTCTCATTTGACAGAATGGAAAACATATTACAGAAATAGAGATGATTTTGATTAGTTTCACGTTGGAAACGACTTTGAAACTGAGCTCAAAGTAGCGGAAATGTTCAATTTTTACCAATGTTCAAGAGTAAGCAAATCACACCACACGTCCAATACACATCAACTGGGGAGTCTAATATTCTTTCACTAGTACACCGATATTATTTATACCATTTTTACAATAATGCAGTAGTCTACATAACAGTAAATCTTCTATTTTTTTGTGAATAAAAAATCAAAATAGAAAGCAAGAGTAAGGGGGGCCTGGAGACATGACTAATGAACAGAGAATATGTTATTTTAGTGCCAAGGATGTCTGCATTGTTTATTCTGGACCCTATTTTGAAACTGGCATCTTTTTTAATTTGTGTGAAATTGGCCAAATTGCCAAATTCTGACCACTTTATTGGGTACTTCAAATTGGTAAATGGGCAGTTTCTTGTACTCACTTGACAGAAAACCTAATGTTCTAAAGAAATAGCTATGAGTTTGGTCGACTGGAACAATGGAATTGGCCAAAAATAGGGCTCAAATTCGGCAAAATCGCCGATGCGTATGCATCGCCGAGATCGCTAACTTTGCGGGAGCGTAATTCCTTGAGTTTTTGACCAACTTTCGTACTTTTGGCATCATTACCATCGGGAAAAGATACTCTTTCATTTCACAAGAAAAAATAATTTTTTCTTCTCCAAAAATTTTTCCACCATAGAATGAGAGTTTCAGAAAGGGGCTTGCGACAGTCAAAGGGTTAAGACTACAAATATTTTAAGGTAAGTAATGAATGCACTGTGGCAGTAAATGATAAAGAAACAGAACAGAACACATGACCACAACACAAGGCACAGATCACTCTTTGATGTTCCCCATGTCCATCTCACACTATGTAAAAACTCAATGCACATAAAAGGCCCCAAAATTTGGAATTCATTACTTGTGAATACAAAAGAAACACTGTCTGTTTATCAATTCAAGACTCTTCTTAAAAACCACTTACTCACCCAAAACTAAATAAATATTGAATAACTTTTTTTTTTTTCAACAAGTCAGCTGTCTCCCACCGAGGCAGGGCGACCCAAAAAGAAAGAAAATCCACAAAAAGAAAATACTTTTACTTTCACCTCACTCACACATAATCACTGTTCTTGCAGAGGTGCCCAGAATACAACAGTTTAGAAGTATAATGAGGACATTAGAGCACTCCAGGATGATTTGAATAGGCTGACACAATGGTCGGAGAAGTGGCAGATGCAGTTTAATATTGACAAATGCAAAGTTCTAAATGTTGGACAGTTAAATAACCATGCCACATATAAACTAAATAATGTAGAACTTAATACTACCGATTGCGAAAAGGATTTAGGAGTTTTGGTTAGCAGTAATCTAAAACCAAGACAACAGTGCATTAGTGTTCGCAATAAAGCTAACAGAATTCTTGGCTTCATATCTAGAAGTATAAATAATAGAAGTCCTCAGGTTGTTCTTCAACTCTATATATCCTTGGTTAGGCCTCATTTAGACTATGCTGCTCAGTTATGGTCACCGTATTACAGAATGGATATAAATGCTCTGGAAAACGTACAGAGGAGGATGACAAAGATGATCCCATGTATCAGAAATCTTCCCTATGAGGATAGACTGAGGGCCCTGAATCTGCACTTTCTCGAAAGGCGTAAAATTAGGGGAGATATGATCGAGGTGTATAAATGGAAAACAGGAATAAATAAAGGGGATGTAAATAGTGTGCTGAAAATTTCCAGCCAAGACAGGACTCGCAGCAATGGTTTCAAGTTGGAAAAATTCAGATTCAGGAAGGATATAGGAAAGCACTGGTTTGGTAATAGAGTTGTGAATGAGTGGAACAAGCTCCCGAGTACAGTTATTGAGGCTAAAACGTTGTGTAGTTTTAAAAATAGGTTAAATAAATACATGAGTGGATGTGGGTGGGTGTGAGTTGGACCTGACTAGCTTTGCTGCTGGGTCTGGTACAATGCTCCATTCTTGAGTGGGGATGACCAGACTGGGTGGGTCATTGGGATAATCCTGGGGGTGGGTCATTGGTCTAATCCGGGGGGGGGGGGCATGGGCCTGCTCTGCGTGGGTCAGTAGGCCTGTTGCAGTGTTCCTTCTTTCTTATGTTCTTATAAATATACACAATATATCCCTCCAAACTGCCAACATCTCAAACCCCTCCTTTCGAGTGCAGGCATTGTACTTCCCATTTCCAGGACTCGAAGTCCGGTTATATAAAATAACCGGTTTCCCTGAATCCCTTCACTAAATATTACCCTGCTCTCACTCCAACAGCTCGTCAGGTCCCAAATACCATTTGTCTCCATTCACTCCTATCTAACATGTTCACGCACGCTTGCTGGAAGTCCAAACCCCTCGCCCACAACACCTCGTTTACCCCCTCCCTCCAATCTTTTCGAGGATGACCCCTGCCCCGCCTTCCTTCCCCTACAGATTTATACGCTCTCCATGTCAATGTACTTTGATCCATTCTCTCTAAATGACTAAACCACCTCAACAAACCCTCTTCAGCCCTTTGACTAATACTTTTATTAACTCCACACCTCCTCCTAATTTCCACACTCCAAATCTTCTGCATAATATTTACACCACACATAAATGTATAACCCATGACCCTATCAAACTATGTTTTTAATTACATTACCTAATAGAATAATCCATTCTCTTGAATGCACAGTAACTCATCTAATGACCATATGATCTGTTTCTGCACTACAAATCACTGATTTTATTCGACTTGATCAGATTAATAAATTTTATGACTACATATAGTACATATATTGATCATTTTGTTATATTATACATTGTAATGCTACAAATTTGTACAACTATAATGCTTCATAACTGAAATGTTCAAATTTCACTGTTTAAAATACTCATTTGTACTTCATGCTGTAAATTGTTTACTGTAATTTTTACCAATGAATCTATCATTGCTTAGTTAATCTTAAGTTAAAGGAGGAGACCAAACAGACTTGAATAACCATAGGCCAATATCCAACTTACACCCTCTCTCTAAAACCTTCGAAAAATTAATTCATAAGCAAATCTATTCCTACCACATCTCCCACAACATATTCTACCCCTGTCAATTTGGGTTCAGGCTTAATAAAAATACTAATGATGCTATTATACACATGCTAGAACACACATACACTGCAATAGAGAAAAAGAAGTCCCACTGAGGATCTTCATTGACTTACTTAAAGCTTTTGATACAGTTGACCATGACTTGCTCCATATAAAATTGTCGCACTATGGTATAAGAGGGCACTCCCTCAACTACCTAAAGTTTTACCTCAGCAACAGAAGCCAATATGTGTACACAAACAAGGCAAACTCTTCTGCGCAGCCAATTACAGTTGGTGTCCCTCAAGGAAGTTTCCTAGGCCCTCTTCTCTTTTTCATATACATAAATGACCTACCAAATGCATCACAACTACTCAAACTCACAGTATTTGCAGATGACACTACATACGTCTTCTCTCACCCGAGCCCAGTCACACTAGCCAATACTGTAAATACCAATTTACAGAAAATATCTACCTGGATGAGCACTAACAAACTTACTCTAAACATTGACAAAACCTACTTCATTCAGTTTGGTAACAGAGCTACAGACGTCCCTCTTAACATAATGATAAACAGATCACCTATCACAAAATTCACAGAGGGAAAATTTTTAGGAATCCACCTTGATAATAGACTCAAATTTCAAACACACATACAACAAACTTCCAAAAAAAATTCCAAGACCGTACGCATACTATCGAAGATACGGTACTATGTTCCACAGTAAGCCCTCCTGGCCCTATATCACTCGCTTATTTACCCCTATCTCACCTATGGAATTTGTGCATGGGGCTCAACAACAATAAACCATCTCAGACCATTAATTACCCAACAGAAGGCTGCAGTCAGAATGATAAATTCCCACTACAGGCAGCACACTCCACCAATATTCAAAACTCTAAACCTACTCACCATACAAAACATCCATACTTATTACCGCACCTACTACATTCATAGAACACTTAACTCTGATATAAACCCTCCCCTCAAATGTCTCCTTACCAACCTCAACAGAGCACATGACCATAACACAAGGCACAGATCACTCTTTGATG